CCCGGGGCCACAGCAGAGAGCTGGACTGGAAGAGGAGCAACCGGGACTAGAACCCGGGGTGCCGGCGCCGCAGGAAGAGGATTAGGCAAGTGAGCCGCGGCACCGGCCACCACGATTTTAAAAAGTAAAAGATTTTGAAAAATTAATATGAGGGGTCTTCAAGAAGTTAATGGGAAACGCATACTATGGAAAAAACTACACATGGACTAAAAATTTTGCTGCACCCAAATACATTTTGCACTGAACTATTGTAGCGCATTTGAGCTGGATCTAGTTTTGAGGCAATATCACAGAGCCCCTACCAGAGCAACACAAAGTCTGCTAAAACTGAAACTATAGCAAACATGCGATTGATGATGATGTCATTGATGCCCTACTAAACGCTTAAGGAGACAAAGAGCCCTGCAGTTAGCAAGCGGACAACTGGCTTTAGGAAGGGACTAGACGATGCTGGAGATGAAGCCCATGGTGGCAGGTCATACACATCCATTTGCAAGGAAAGTAATAATCTTGTTTGTGCCTAACTTGAGGAGGAGCAGCGACTGACAGCAGAATACTAGCAAAGCCACAGGCACCTCAGTGGACTCAGCTGACCCCACTCTGATGGGAAATTCAACCCTGAGAGAACATCCTGCTCACGCCTGCTGGAACTGTTGTGCCCAGATCAGCTGTAGAGCCAGGCAGAGCTTTCAGTGGGAATGTGAGCAGTTGGGATCAAGACCCTGAAACGTGACTTTGAAGAACTGTAACAAGAGACAAAACGTGGCTTTGCCAGTACAAGCCTGAAGACAAGGCACAATCAAAGCAATGGCTACCGAGAGGAGCAAGTGGCCCAGGGAAGCACAAGTGGATTGGCCAAGAGCAGAGGTCATAGCAACGGTTTTATCATTTTTTTTTCCCAATGACTTTCTGGAGGGTCAAAAAGGATACCTTCTGCCTATGGTGAGAAGGTTGGGAGAAAGTCTGCCAAAGGTCCAGCAGCAAATGCGTGGGGAAGCATCACCAGAGATGCAGGGTCTTAGTCCACCCGCACAAGGATGGACTGGGTCCGAGGAAAGGTAAGTGCGCCGCTCGCCTGTGCCCCAGCCTCCCGATCCCGGAGACAGTCAGACGCAGTGGGGAGCCACGTCTAGCAAGAACTCGTTTATTTCGCGTGTAACAGAGCCTTTTATAGCACAAAACTGCAGAGTCATTGGGGCAGGGCATAAAGACCAACCGATCACTTAAAGGGTCATTTTACCGGGCGATTTTCATAGGACTGGCCATATGTCTATACACTTGATATCAGTTGTTGCCACTTCCCCTGATGTTGCATAGCCAATTAGTTTTAGTGGTAAACAACTTTGGATTCCGCCCACCTTACTTCCTCTCAGCACCATCTTTGAATTGCTTCGTGTAACTAATTTCCCCACACAGAGTCCTTACCCCCATATGACAAAGCTCCTGCTCGGTCCTCCACAGACGTGGGCAGCTCTGTGAGTCTCAACAGGAAGTCCAAGGCGGTCACCTTAAAGCCCTCCTTTGTCTCCTTCTGGCTTCCTTTTGCTTCCCTTTTAAAATATCCCTCTGCTAATCCTGTGAAATCCACCACACTGACTTAAACTCCCAGGACCACAGTTCCTGAGGGATGGATGACGTGACTGCTGTCCTTGCTTGTACATACCTTGAACTTGAGAAGTGAAATCGCATTTTTTATCTTAATCTTTTGATTCTATTCCCCGTAAACATTCTGAATTCTTCCCTACAGCTCACCATGCACACGACTTGCTGGTCAAGTGCTTTAGGTACATCCAAGGACTAATCCTGACAACAGTAGTCTCCCCATTTTATCTTTGGGGAGACAAGACACTAGCTCCGAGGTCGGCAAACTACGATTGCCTAACAAATTCACCGGAGACTACAAATTTTTATCTTGCCACGCCCTTTCAGCCCTTGCTGTCTCTGGCTGCTTGAGTCGTCACAGCAGGGACCTTTTGGTCCCCAAAGCCAGAGCCGCGTGCCTTCTGCCTGAGGGCCAGCTGCACAGAGTGTTAGTCCCAGTGCAAAATGAAAACACAGGGCCCCCGTTTTGTAAATTAAGACATTGAAGGCAGTGATGGTCAGGATTTAAACCAAACTTAGGATCTTGTGACCAACTCATGATGGGCACCAGGAAGCTGACCCTTAGCCAGTCCTCTACAGAGAAGTCGGCTGACCCTGCCCTGGACAGTAACTCACCCAAAGCTGCGTGGGGTGAGCTGCAGAGCTGGGGTTTGGACCTAAACAGGTGCTCACGACCTCTCTGCTCTCTTGGGGGCTGGCTCACACCCAAGGGGGGTGCATTTGGGGCACAAGTGCCCTCGAAGACTGCTGGTGTCGACACAGAGTGCAATCTGGGGAACTCCATCCAAAGCTTAAAACTGCTCACCACCAGTCTTAGACGAGCGTGTAACACGCTCACAAGAGGAGTGAAGCAGGACTGCAGTAGCTCGTGTCTACACTCATGGACTTTGCAGAAATGCCCACGTGGATGTAGGGATGGAGACAGATGCTTGGGGAAACAGCTGGAGGATGCACGTAGGTGTTAGTCACTGTGACGCTGCGACTGATTCTGTGGTCTTCATTCTCACCCATGGTTTACCCATGCTCTCCTGGGGAGGGGGCGGCGGGGGTTCCAGGCGTCTGGGGAGGACGATGGGGCTGCTCTGAGGGTGCAGAGGGAACCCTGGCTCCCTGGCCTCCCTCAGTGATACCACAGCTGGCCTCCAGCACCTGAGGGCCAGGAATGAAGCTATGATGCTGTGCACTGAACTGCTTGCAAGGCGTGGCTGCAAGCAGGCCCAGGCCCAGGTGTTACAGGTGTGGTCCCCAGGGTGGCACTGTTGGCAGCTGGGACTCTCAGGAGATGGGGGCTCATGGGACGTCCTTTGGTCACGGGAGGTGCTGCCTGGGAGGCTGGTTCCCATGGTCAGCTGCCACGTGGGGAGGAGGCCAAGGCCACAGCTTGAGGGAGGCCCCAGCCTGTCTGTGCCTGTGTCTGGCCCATCCAGCGTGAGACCAAGAGACAATCCTTCCCCGGCATCCGGATACACCAGTTTCTGCAGGACCCCTGGCACACACCGAGAGAGACGAGCCTGGACTTAAAAGCAGACTGTGGCGCTGAAATGCATCCATAAGGACCTGTGATTTGGCCCGTGAGCCTCCGGCACAATGTCCCCAGGCAGCTCTGGGACCTAAGTCAGCTCCTAGCAAGGCAGTGGGTTCCTACTCCTTCCCCTTGAAACCCTTGAGGCTGCATTTACAGCAAGGGTTCTTCCCCCAGAGAGTAACAGTAACGCCAGCATCTGTCTCGATATTCTAAGAGCTCAGTGGTCTCTGCCTTAACGATTTCTAAAGTTCTTTTAGCCATTTGTTCACTGCCCGATCTGTAAAACAGACAGTGCAACAGAGTACCTCGGGGACGGACTCAGGTGGACACGTGGTGCTTCCTTCAAGTCAGGACAGCTGGCACGCAGCCGGACTGAACCCTAAAGGACTGCTCCTTGTTTGGGTTTTCTTCATTTTTGTTTACCTCTGAGAGGACTTAAGTTCTTGAGCTTTGGACAATAACTGCTTTTAGAAACTGCCAAGAGAAGAGTTGACCAAGATTTAGAATTTATTTGGAAACACAGAGCAGGTGTACTATGTGGCCAACGTCTTCACTCTGATCTGGTGGAGACTAAAACCTCTCCTTGCCGCTCCCACGCGCTGAAGAGGGCGGGAGCTGCTGGCTGCACCTGGAAGGAGGCAGCGTTACCCTGGGGCACCGCTCTTCCTTCCACGGTTAGGGACTTGCGGTTGCCTGAGCTGCTCCGTGCTCATCACGGCCGCCACTGGCGTGGCTGGCGACGCATGCTGAGTGTGTAGCAACAGCACAGCAGAAAACACAATGCATGTTAGGCGTGTGAAGAAGGGCGGGACCTGGTCTGCTTCTACAGAGACGGAAATCGGAAGTCAAACCCCCTTTGTTCTCCAGAATACGGTCTCAAACCTTTTGTGATTTTCATTTAAATTGTTTGGAGGCTTGGAGCTATTAGTCAATCTATCTTACGACACACGGCTTAATACAGAACTGCTTATATATATACAAATTTAACGCAAGTTGTCAGTGGATGAGCGATCACCGAACAGCTCTGCCAATAATTGGTTTGTTTTTCTCCAGGAAAGTTGCTTGAACCAATGGAGGGGAAAAAAAAGCCTGGGGGTGGCCCCACGTGCTCTCTGCCCCCCAGCTGCCCACATGACCCTCTCTCTGCCCACCACACTCGCTCTCTGCCGTCTGTCATGGGGCCTGTACGTGCTGTTTGGCCGCCTGGCCTCCCGAGCTGTGGGCTAGGTAAACCTCTCTTTCCTTCGTAAGTCACCCGCCCCAGGCTTTTTGTCATAGTAACAAGAAGCTGACACAGTCATGGAGGAAGCTTCTGGTTCACCCAAATCCTCAGGGAAGACAGCTCCGCGGCGGGGCCTCTGCAGGAGGGCCTGCTTCGTCTGTAGCTCTGTGGGGACTCTGTCCTGCCCGCCCCCCATGCCGGCCGTGCCCCTCCCACAAGACAAGGAATCCAGCCCCACTTCTAGATTGTACTTTGGCTCCCTGGATCCCAGAATTTCCCACCCACAAGGTCCCAAGCCAATTTCTAGAGTCTGCCCTGTGAGGATGGACCTGGCCGGTGTGTGCATGTCTGGGGCAGGGAGTGGCCAGGAGGCCCTGGGTTGTGAGCAGGGACAGGGGTGCGGAGGGCAGAGCAGAACCCAAGGCAGAGGCAGAGAGAGGTGAGCAAGGGGCGGAGGCGCCGTTGATTCTTCTCGGGCCCACAGGAGCTGGGGGTAGGCCTGCGAGTTTTATTTTATTGCTGTAGGACACTGATTTACCACCACATCTAAGGGGCAAGCGCCTGCGCGGTCCTGATCCCTGGGCTCAGTCCTGTGCAGGCCTGGTGGGTGGGGAGGGGAGGAGAACCTCAGATTCCTCCAGGCACTGCTGCTCTAACGTGGCCTGGTCCCAAGAAGGAGTTATCATACCAAGTTAACAGGTTGCAATCAACTTTATTTTTTAAGATTTATTTATTTATTTTTTGACAGGCAGAGTGGATAGTGAGAGAGAGAGAGAGAAAGAGAGAGAGAGAAAGGTCTTCCTTTTTGCCGTTGGTTCACCCTCCAATGGCCGCTGCAGCCAGCGCACCGCGCTGATCCGAAGTCAGGAGCCAGGTGCTTCTCCTGGTCTCCCATGCGGGTGCAGAGCCCAAGTACCTGGGCCATCCTCCACTGCACTCCCGGGCCACAGCAGAGAGCTGGCCTGGAAGAGGGACCACCGGGACAGAATCTGGCGCCCCGACCGGTACTAGAACCCGGTGTGCCGGTGCCGCTAGGTGGAGGATTAAGATTTATTTATTTATTTGAAAGTCAGAGTTACACAGGGAGAGGAGAGGCAGAGAGAGAGGTCTTCCATCTGCTGGTTCACTCCCCAGTTGGCCGCAACCGCCTGAGCTGCGCTGATCCAAACCCAGGAGCCTGGAGCTTCCTCCAGGTCTCTCATGCAGGTGTAGGGGCCCAAGGACTTAGGCCTCTTCTACTGCTTTCCCGGGCCACAGCAGAGAGTGGGATCAGAAGTAGAGCAGCTGGGACTTGAACCGGTGCTGATGTGGGATGCCAGCACTGCAGGCAGTGGCTCTACCCACTACGCCACAGCGATGGCCACTGCAGTCAACCTTTTGAAAGCAAAAAAAAACAAACAAACAAACAAAAAAAAAACCCAGAATATAACCAAATAGAAAATTCTGGAATACACCCTCACATGACAATATTTTAGTGAGATGTTTGGGATTACAGTTTTTTTTTTAAAGATTTATTTATTTAGTTGAAAGGCACAGTTATAGAGAGAGAGTAGAGACAGACAGAGAGGGAGAGAGAGAGAGCGAGTGAGCTTCCATCTGCTAGTTTACTCTCCTAATGATTGCAACTACTGAGGCTGGGCCGAGCCAAAGCCAGGAGTTCCTTCTGGGTCTCCCACATGGCTGGCATTTTCTGCTGCCTTCCCAGGCACATTAGCATGGAGCTGAATTCGAAGTGGATCAGCCAGGACTCAAAATGGCGCCCATATGGAATCCTGGAGCTGCAGGCTGCGGCTTTACCCGCTGAGCCACAGCACGGAGTCCTGGGGTTCCAATTATAAAAGGTGGACACAGTCCCTGCAAGAAATACACACAGCCAGCACGTGGCTCGCTAGGCTAATCCTCCACCTGCGGGGCCGGCATCCCGGGTTCTAGTCCCGGTTGCTCCTCTTCCAGTCCAGCTCTCTGCTGTGGCCCGGGAAGGCAGTGGAGGATGGCCCAAGTGCTTGGGCCCTGCACCCACATGGGAGACCAGGAGGAAGTACCTGGCTCCTGGCTTTGGATCGGCGCAGCGTGCCGTCCGTAGCAGCCATTTGGGGGTGGTGAACCAATGGTAGGAAGACCTTTCTGTCTCTCTCTCTCACTGTCTAACTCTGCCTGTCAAAAATAAAAAGAAGAAGAAGAAGAAAAAAGAAATACACACAGGTGAGGCACTGACAGCTGAGCAGAGGCCAATCACCAGCTGACCACTGGCTGCACCCAGGAAGTCCAGCTTCCAGCCAGATGAGTGACCAGGCTCCAACCAGCTGAAGCCAGGTAAGACAGAAAGTGTGCACTGCTCTCTGGTTCCACCCCGGACCACCCTCACTGCCTGCTGCTGGCTCACCTGGGCACCTGCTGACGGCTCCGCCCATCCCTCGCCCCCTGCCCTCCTCACTCAGCCAGAGGACACCTGGAAGTCGGAGCTGTGCACTCCTGGAGCTCCGGGTCCCCTAGTCCCCGCCAGGGGCCGGCCACCTGCTTTGCGGATCCCTGAGAGTCTTCCCAATCCATTCTAAAACCCTGCAGTTATAGCAAAATGCAGGGTTTGAGACTTGCTACCAACTGTCTCGTTCAATTCCATCCTCTTCCCACCGGGGAAGGAGAAGGAAAGGATGTATTTATAGAACTTGGAGACAGACATGCCGCTTTCAGCCCCTGCAATGAAAAGCCGCTGTTTTCTCGCGGGCCCAGGGCTCTGCCTTTGCCAGTGGTGCTTTGAGTGCTGTTGTTGTGACGTTGCGAAGCCCAGCTTAGAGCCCAGATCTGCTTCCAGGGTCCTCCTGGGAACCACAGAAGCAAGCAAGCTGCTGACCGCCTGGCGCTGATTGGAAAGAGCGCTAAAATCCTGCTCGCACGGAGTTCTGAAGCAGCAGCACACAACGATCTCTCTGAGCGGTCGCAGTCTAGGCTCTTTGGAAACGTCTGAACCTAATCATTAACTTTTATGATGGACGGCTGGGGTTTTATTGCAGATGCGGTGTAAATGATTTGCCAAGGGCTGGCAGCACTGCCAGATCGCGGCTGCGGCTGCGGTCGCCTCCGGCGCTGGCCAGGTGTTGCTGTCAGGGGAAGGCCAGCAGCGCGATACCCAGCACCGGCTCGCTTGGACAGTGGGAAACAAACTCACCTGGGCATGAAGCAGCCAAGGCCTCTGGATTCCTGTGCTGGGGCCACAACCAAACCGCACACAGGCTCTGACCATCCCGCTGGCCACCCGTGTCCTCATTCTATGTATTTTGGGGTGGCAGTGACCGCAAAATTTTATTTTTTTCTGCCTTGGCTGTAGGGGACCCTCCAGTAAGGAGAGCCCTCCACTGGCCACTCTCCTTGTGGAATCGCCTACAGGAACAGGAGCCCTCCTTCTCCCTCCAGTTTCCAACTGACGAGCTTGTCTTGGGTGTAGCAGAAGTTTGTTGCCAAGGTTACTGAACATCCCAAAACTGGTTGGAGGAATTGCTATTAAGTTCCCCACGCTGGGCCCACTCCAGCCCCATGAAGCTGGTCACCAACCCCAAGGTGGCAGAAGAAAGACTGCGAAGTGCAGAGCAAGGGGCCAGGCAGCCAGGGCTTAATCCCCGGGCTCCCCAGGGGTGGTGGACAAAGGTTCCTGGAGGCTAAAGTTGGGGCTGAAGGTGTGCAGGTTGCTTGTCGGTCCACAGTGCTCGCGGCCCCCCTTTGCTTGGTCGGTGACCTCAGGTTCTTCCGGGGATTGCATTGGTGGGCGAGTGGGCTCCAGTCAGGCAGGCAGCGGTTACTTCCTGCTCAGGGCCTGCAGTTCTTGGAAAAGGACCCCTGAAGACAAGACTGTGTATCCAGCTGTTATCTCTTGGGGAGATAAACAAGCTCCCGGAGCCTGCAGGGCTGGCTGCACCACGCCCTCGGCTTACTGAGCGGACTGTAGGGAAACCAGTGCCAGGAACCTCGCAGCTAGGGGAGTCTGAGCGAGACCAGAGAGGGAGAGAGGGCTGCTATTCACTGGTTCATTCCCCAAATGGCCACAGCAGCCAGGGCTGGGCCAGGCCGATGGCAGGAGCCAGGAGCTCCATCCAGGTCTCCCACATGGGTGCAGGGGCCCCAGCACTCAGGCCACCTCTGCTGCTTTCCCAGGCGCATTAGCAGGGAGCTGGATCAGAAGCGGAGCAGCTGGGACTCCAACTGGTGCTCCAATATGAGATGCAGGCACAGCATCCCAATGGTTTAACCCGTGGCGACACAACGCTGGCCCTTATAACTCTCAGTTTTACCAAAAAGAAAAGAGGTACACAAGGAGACGGGACTGGTCCCAGGTGACACAGCCAGACTAGGACCCCACCATTCATTAGGGCGTTCGCTTTTAAATCAAAAAATATTTCCAGCATGCTGACAAGTACCGGGAAAAAAATACAGCAAGCATGTACCTGTTGCTCAGCTTTGAAACCGTTTTTCCATATTTGCCTACTATCTGACTTACTTATTTACTTTTAAGATTTATTTATTTATTTAAAAGTCAGAGAGAGAGAGAGAGAGAGAGAGAGAGAGAGATCTTCCATCCACTAGTTCACTCTCTAAATGGCTGCAATGGCCGAAGCTGAGCCAGGCCGAAGCCGGAGCCAGAACCTTCATCCAGGTCTCCCATGTGAGTGCAGGGCCCAAGCACTTGGGCCACCCTCTGCTGCTTTTCCCAGGCCACTTGCAAGGAGGTGGATCAGAAGAGAGGCAGCTGGGACACGAACTGGTACCCAGATGGAATGCTGGCATTTCTGCTTCACCCTCTACACCGCATCGCCGGCCCCACACTATATAATTTAAAGAAATACAATATTGAAGATATGTTGGGCTTCTATAAATAGCCTCAAGCTGTATCACGATGCAACCTGCTCTTTGTAACAGTATACTTTTGGGACTTAGCCATTGTGATACATGCGGCTGTAGATTCATCATTTCACATGAGGCTCCGTTTTTTTGTTGTTGTTGTTTTTGTTTTTGACATGCAGAGTGGACAGTGAGAGAGAGAGAGAGAGACAGAGAGAAAGGTCTTCCTTTGCTGTTGGTTCACCCTCCAATGGCTGCTGCACCGCGCTGATCCGATGGCAGGAGCCAGGTACTTATCCTGGTCTCCCATGGGGTGCAGGGCCCAAGCACTTGGGCCATCCTCCACTGCCTTCCCGGGCCACAGCAGAGAGCTGGCCTGGAAGAGGGGCAATCGGGACAGAATCCGGTACCCCAACCGGGACTAGAACCTGGTGTGCCGGCGCCGCTAGGCAGAGGATTAGCCTAGTGAGCCGCGGCGCCAGCCGAGGCTCTGTTTTAAAAATGTATCTGCAGTCACTCATCCACATCCCCTGCTGAGCATTTACATTAGGGGTCAGTAAACTTTGGAGAGAGTCAGCCTGTCCATATTTTGGTGTTGGAACGGCATCCACCCTCTGCCGAAAAGACTCAACTTTGCTGTGTTAGCAGCATCATACAATGTGCAAACAAGCAGCTTTGGCTGTGTTCCAACAAAGCTTTATTTATAAAAACAGGTGATGGACAAAATTTGATCCGTGCTCTGGTTTGCTGGCCCAGATTTAGATCATTTTCAGGGTTTTGCTAGTGCAAATACAGCTGAGTTGACTATCGTGCCTGTCTCCTGATGTCCACACAGGAGTCTCTGGGGGGTGGAGTCCAGCATGTTATAAGGAACACACAGCTCCACGTTGACTGTGCCTACAGGAGCCCCAGGAGCTATGCCGAGTTTGTGTGGGGGGCTCAGGCTGACTGTCTCACAGGAGCCCCCAGGAGCTGTGTCGAGTTTGTGTGGGGGGCTCGGGCTGACTGTGTCCTTCCCAATGCTGCTAGTGTATCTCCACCAATCTGGTGGATGTCTGTGATGCCTTATTCTGGTTTCACCTTTGAACCTGTACCAACATCCTTGTGAGATGCTAAATATTCCTATCCATGAAGATGGTATACAACTCTCCTTTAATTCCTCAATTCATGTACCTGAACCAATTTTACAGATTAAATAATCTATAAATGATAATCTTGTAGCTTTATCTATAAAAGTCTTATGCATCTTTTGCTATATCTCTTCCATTTCTTCCAGGAAAAAAATGCTTCCATTTTAAATATATTTTAAAATGGTATTATTTTGGGGGTCAGCACTGTGGCTCAGTGGAGTAAAGCCCTGGCCTGCAGCACTGGTACCCCATATGGGTACCAGTTCAAGTGCCAGATGCTTCACTTCTGATCCACTCCCTGCTAGTGTGCCTGGGAAAGCAGCAGAGGATGGCCCAAGTCCCTGGGCCCCTGCACCCACGTGGGAGACCTGGAAGAAGCTCCTGGCTTCTGGCTTTGGATTGGCTTAGCTCCAAATGTGGAAATTTGGGGAGTGAACCAGTGGATGAAAGACCTCTCTATCTCTGTCTCTGCCTCTCTCTGTAACTCTTTCAAATAAATAAATTAAATAAATATTTAAAATGATATTATTTTCAGTGTATAGGATTACACTTGAACTATATATATATTTATCTGAAATCCAGTGACTATGATAAACTTTCTGTGTTAGCTATAAAATCCTCATGGATGTCTTCAGAAGATTGTATTAACTGTGGCCTACAACCAGCTCTGTTTTTGCTGTCCACGTTATGCCTTTCTGCTTCTTTTTCTGGTCTTCATGCACAGGTTTGGATCTGAATCCATCAGGCAGTTGAATGGGAGAGAGATGGAGGACTTCAAAGGGAGATTTCTCATTTAACCTTTAAATGTGGTATTTGCTGTAGAGTATCAGAAAACATCCTCTTCTGATGATGGGATATTTCTAGTAGGTTATCAGTATTTACCTGGTTCTAAAATATTTTTATTAGTTAATATGTTTAGTAGAGAGGTTGGATGTGTGAGCAGAAACAGAAACAAAACAGGTGAGCAGTGGAAATGCTCCTTCCCACCCACCCAGCCTTGGCACACACGACCATAACACCCTGACCCTCCCTCCAGGAAGTGTCAGTGCACATCAGGCACAAAAACAGATCCCACCCAGCTTCCCTTCTTCCCTTCTACCATGCACTGCTTTTTTTTTTTTTTTTTTTTTACAGGCAGAGTGGACAGTGAGAGAGAGAGAGAGACAGAGAGAAAGGTCTTCCTTTGCCGTTGGTTCACCCTCCAATGGCCGCCACAGCCGGCGCGCTGTGGCCGGCACACCGTGCTGATCCGAAGGCAGGAGCCAGGGGCTTCTCCTGGTCTCCCATGCGGGTGCAGGGCCCAAGCACTTGGGCCATCTTCCACTGCACTCCCGGGCCACAGCAGAGAGCTGGCCTGGAAGAGGAGCAACCAGGACAGAATCCGGTGCCCCAACTGGGACTAGAACCCGGGGTGCCGGCACCGCTAGACGGAGGATTAGCCTAGTGAGCCGCAGCGCTGGCCTCACTGTTTTCAAATAAAGCATCTTGAACATTACCCTGTATCAGGACACAGAGGTCTGCTCCAGGCTTCAGCCCTAGCTGAGGGGGGACCACTGTGGACACGTGGTGAACCCGTGGGTGAAGGTTCTCTCTCTCTGTCTCTGCAATAAAAAGAAGAAAGAAATCTCAGTTCCTTATGAATTACCCAGTCCCGGGTGCTCTGTACAGAGGCATAAAGTGGACAGACATGTGGCTTCCCAACGCGCTTACAGAAAGTCGGGCACCGCAGCCCCCTTGCAACCTCCTATAGCCACGGGGCCTTCCAGCTGTGCCTGTCCAGGTCCAGGGTCACTCGGGCTGGGAGACACATCCTGCAAACGCCACCTGTGGCAGGCTCCTCTGCACCCTGCCTTGCAAGGGGACACCCTCTTTCCTCCATGGTGCTCCGCCCCCCAACACACACACAGTGGAAGAAAAGGGAAAGGACTCTCCTTGGACCTGTCCCCAGCTCTCTGGCATGTGCCGATGTGCCCCTGCTCCCTGGAGAGTGTGACCCGGGCTTGCCAATCAGACCCTCCCCTGTGGAATCCACCCCTGAGCCCGGTGGCCCTGGATTTAGTAGGACAGACAACTGGAGTGTTTCGGAGGTGGCTTGGAAAGAGCTGCTGTTCTCCATCCCTGGGCTTCCCGCGTCCTCCTCACCCCCTACTCCCTCTCTCCCTGGCTGGATTCTGTTCGCCCAGGCCTCGTTCCACCTCCCCCAGCCCCAGTGGCCCCTCTGGCTTCCCGAGAAGGGGCGGGCCCCAGGCTCTGTCCATCACACCGCAGGCCTGGGCTTCTGTTTTCGCTGCTCTCTTTGGCACAGACCTGAGCTCCCAGGAGCCACCCTGAGGATGGCTGGCATCCGCCCTCTGCAGGGTGGGCTCCGCCGGGGGCACTCGTGGATGGCTTTGCCGGGGATGGAGCCGTGGTGTCTCGGTCCTGCTTCCTCACTGCCGGCCCCATGCCGCCGGCCTCACTTGCTCTCCACCCGCTCCTTGGCTTCAGCGCTGAGCCTTTGCTGCTGTGCCCGGGGAGCAGGGCCTGGGCGTGGGCACCGACTCGCACTTCCTGGGAGAACGGCAGACGTGCACCCCCAGTGAGGGACCGGGTCCCGCCTGTGTGACGCCTGCGTCCAGCAATGAGATTCGTCACTGTGTGCACAGCCAAGTCCGCTTCCAGACTTGAACTAGAGCCAGGATAACAAAGAGCGTCTCTCTGAGAGCCCCTCTGAAGCACAGTTCCCGCAGGCACGGCCGACTTGCTCACGTCAGCCCTGCCTCTGTCCCTGGACTGGGGGAGGTCGGTGACCTCTTGTCCCCTTACTCCCACTCCCAAGGAGTGCACGTGGCCGCAGCTCTCCAACTCGGGTGGAGCTGGCACGTGCCCTGGCACCTGCTCTGTGCTGGCTCCCTGTGTGGTGCCAGGGATGCTGTGATGTCACAGGGACAGCCTGTGCGGGGGGGAGGAGGAGGGAAGAGGAAGGCGCCCAGGTAGAAGTGGCTGAGAGCAGATGACGCTCTCCCAAGTGCCCTGTGCCCTGTAACTCACGTTCAGTCATTGCCACCTAAGCTGGAGGACTGGGCCAGGCTGAAGCCAGGAGCCTGGACCTCCATCTGGGTTTCCCATGTGGCTGCAGGGGTCCAAGGACTTGGCCCGCTGTCTGCTGCTTTCCCAGGTGCATTAGCAGGGAGCCGGATCAGAAGTGGAACAGCTGGGACTCAAATTCGATATGCGATGCTGGCTTTGCAGGAGACGGCTTAACCTGCTGCACCACAGTGCCAGTCCTGATCTGTAATAATTTAAAAATAAAAAGTTCTAAAGAAGGCAGCCAGGCGGCAGCCCAGGACTTGCCCACACACGGTCTCTGCGTGGGGACAGCGCCGCTGCCTGCACCATCTCCACGGCAGAGGCTCTCACAGCTCTGCTTCCGGGGAGCCAGCCAGGAGTGGGAGATCAGCCTGCCTGGCCTCGGAGCCTCCCCAGGACCTGCAGACTTCCGAGGAGTGGGGAGGGGGGGATGCGGGGGGGCATATGATGCCCACTGAGTCCCCCAAATGCTCATGGCATTGAAAAGCCAAAGGAAAGGGTGAAAGAGCCTGGGCTGTGGCCCCTGGGCGTGCGAGGTGCATCCTGCACAGGGTCGTGGCTGTCACAGCCGCACCATCAGCCGGGGTCAGCTGTGCAGGGGCCGCGGCAGACGGCACAGCTCAGCAGGCGGAAGCCTGTGCTGTCCCCAGCGCTGTCCTGCTGCCCTGTAGTCACCACTGGCCTGCTCCTCCTTGGGTTCGTTCATCAGTGTGTGAGGTCAGGTCGCAGCAGCGCCCTCCACACAAGCACAGGGACAGCGTGGGGAGGGACAACCCCTTTCCCGCGGCTCCCAGGGAGACCACACCTCTGTCCCTGCTGCAGTCCCTGCTGTGGTCCCTCCTGACGCCCCTGCTGTGGCCCCAAGCTGCGAGCCTCCCTGCGGCCCCCCGAACCTATCCGGGGGTCTCTGATGCTGAGCTCTGTGCTCCTGAGAGCACTCAAGTCCCTCTTGCTTTCTTGAACTTGGCCCTGGGCTGGCAACTCCCTTTCCCCTTTAGAGACCTGTTCTTTAAAATCCTCAGCTTCTCCTGAAAACGACGCCCACAATCACGACCCTTGTCCCTCGCTGGAGAGGGTGGCTTGAGGACCAGCGCTGTGCCATAGCCGGTAAGCCTCCGCCTGCGGCACCAGCGTCCCATATGGGTACCTGTTCCAGACCCGCTGGCTCCATTCCTGGTCCAGCTCCCTGCTGGTGCTCCTGGGAAACCAGCAGAAGATGGCCCAAGTGCTTGGGCACCGGCACCTGCACCTGTGTGGGAGACCCTGCGGAAGCTCCGGGCTCCTGGCTTCAGCCTGGCCCAGCTCCTGCAGCCATTTGGGGAATGAACCAGCAGATGGAATCTCTCTCTCTCTCTCCCTCTCCCTCTCCCTCTCCCTCTCCCTCTCCCTCTTCCTCTCCCTCTCCCTCTCCCTCTCCCCTCTCTCCGTAACTGACTTTCAAATAAATAAATAATATTAATAAAAACAAAAGAGTGGCATGCAGCCACACGTTGGAGTCCTCCGGCTCTCCTGGACAGACCCCCGCCCAGAGGCTCCTGGGAGCAGGGCCCTGGCTCCGCCCACGTGGGGAGCTCTGTCTGAATCAGGGACGGTTCCTCCCCTCCCCCACCAAGTGCCCTGAGGATGCGCTGATGACAGCAGGCTTAGTCCATCTGCGGTCACCAGATGCCCCTCACCCCACACCCCTCGGGCTCCAGGCCAATCTCCCCAACTTGAGTGGGGCACACTCCTGCCCTGCCCATCCTATCCCATTTTAAAAGCGTATCTTAGGCCAGTGTCGTGGCTCACTAGGCTAATCCTCCGCCTGCGGCACCGGCACCCCGGGTTCTAGTCCCGGTCGGGGTGCCGGATTCTGTCCCGGTTGCCCCTCTTCCAGTCCAGCTCTCTGCTGTGGCCTGGGAGGGCTGTGGAGGATGGCCCAAGTGCTTGGGCCCTGCACCCCATGGGAGACCAGGAGAAGCACCTGGCTCTTGGCTTCGGATCAGCGTGGTGCGCCGGCTGCAGCGGCCATTTGGGGGGTGAACCAACAGAAGGAAGACCTTTCTCTCTGTCTCTTTCTTACTGTCCACTCTGCCTGTCAAAAAAAGAAAAAAAGAAAAAGAAAAAAGCGCGTATCTTAGAAACCAAATCTGTTTAATTTCATTTAATTTATGTATCTGCGAGGAGAGAGCGCCCCATCTGCTGGCTCACTCCCCAAATGCCAGGAGCTCAGCGCAGGGCTCCCACGTGGGTGGCAGGGACCCACCCACCGGAGCCATCCTGCTGCCTCCCAGGGCCTGCACTGGAGCTGGAGCCCGGAGCTGGAGCCAGACGTCCGACCCGAAGGCCCCCGCCCCACCCCCTTCGCAGCTGGGACCTGCTGGGGCCCTCCCGTCCTCCTGCCCCTTGTCGTGGCGCTGCTGCCCTCCAGAGCAGCCCACGCGGCTGACGCAGCGGAAGCTGGGGCACAGCCCGACCTTGCGCAAACACATCCTGTCCCCGGCCCACACGCTCCCCTTCCAGCTCAGAACCTCTAGACGTGCGGGATGCAGGAAGTCACAGTCCAAACCACCAGCCACTCCTCTCCCTCTTTTCTTTCAGCGGTCCCTTCCGCCGATGTCAGGCGCCAGTGGGATCCGGGCACAGTGACAGCGGCAGGTGCAGGTGGGCGGCGGCCGTCCAGGTAACTTGACAGCACACCTCCCAACACTGTCGCAGCCAATGGGCTGTCAGCGAGCTCGAGACACACCCACTTGACTCACCCCCTCCAGAGGGCTTCTGGAGTCCCGCCTCTGCCCCAGTGCCACAGCCTTCCTGACTCGCCTCCCCCCACAACACTCAGAATGTTAACACCAAGTAAAAGCTGTCCGCCCTTCCTCCTGGGAGCCCTTTGTCAGTCTTATCTGCAGACTCCAGAGGGTGGAGCAGATGTCCCAGAGCCAAGGAGTTCTCAGCACCTGAAATTATGTTTCTTTAAAAAGATTTATTTTATTTATTTGAAAGGCAGAGTTACAGAGAGAGAGAGAGAGAGAGAGAGAGATCTTCCATCTGCTGGTTCACTCTACAGATGACTGCAACGGCCAGGGCTGGGCCAGTCGGAAGCCAGGAGCTTCTTGTGGGTCTCCCGATTGGGTACAAGCACCTGAGCCGTGCCCAGGTGCAGTAGCGGGGAGCTGGATTGAAGCGGAGGAGCTGAGACTTGAACCGGAGTCTATGCGGGATCCTGGCCCGGAAGCAGCAGCTTTACTCGCTCCCCCATGGCGGCGCTGGCCCCAACACCTGAAATTCTCACATCTCTATTAACTCCAGTGACCCCAGGAGCAGCCCTTGGCTCTCTGGCCCCGTCCGGGGATCAGAGTGAGCAGAATATTCCAACGCTGATTCGGTCTAGACTGCAGGGCTGGCTCCTTCCTGCTGTCCCGGACTCACGCCCAGGTCCCCGACGCCTCGTCCTGGGCCTGCACAGCCCCAAATCCTCACTGGACGGATGGATAACTGACTTCTGGGAGCGCTCCCTGGTCCCCGAGGACCTGGAACTGGTGACAGTGGCCAGCACCCGCTCCTAAGGCAGGAGCCAGCACAGCACACGGCTCAGGGCTGTCCCTGGATCTGTGGTCTCGGTGTCGCGGACGAGAAGGGCTGTGGCTGAGTCTGGCCGTGAAGGACGTGCCACTGGTCAGGGGTGACGAAGAGGATGGTGATGACGAAGAGGAGGAAGAGGAGGAGGAGGACGAGGGGCAGGAGGTGACAGCGCGGACTCCCTGCTCGCCCTCCACACCACTTCCCGCTCGTGCATTCCCTCACATCTTCCCCTGCCACAGGTCAGAAATGAAGGCGTGGCCACTGTCGGCAAAGAATGACCAATGGGCAGGCGCAGCCAGGGCCGTGAGTCACCTCACACAGGAAGAAAGTCCTCCTCAGAGGAGGAAAAGCATTCACCTCGCATTTTTGTTTGCTTTAAGCTTGCAAATCTCTGCTAAGAAGCCTCTTATCTGTTTGCCTGCAGACTCAGGAAACGGATATTCTTGGAAGCGCTGGGCAGCATGCAAATAGGTGTAGAGAGACTTTCTCAAGCATGTCCTGCTGCAATTATTAACTGAATATGTCTTCCTCCCAATTATTTATCATACAATAAAACCTTACAGATCAGATTAAATCACAGAACATAGCGGAGGGGGTGGGAGGGAGAAGAAAACCTTCCTCTACTCTCGAGTTCTGTGGCTGGGGAGTGCAAATGAGCCTGATAAACCTCAGATTAACAGAAGAAAAAGCAAACAACTTGAATTGCTGTTAATCCGTAAGTTATGGAGAAGTCACAAAGCAAAGGAAAAGGAGTTTGAGCTTCGCAGGGCAGCGCCATGAGCCACGAGCCACAGCCACGAGCCACAGGGTTACCTAGTGGGGTCTGTTCACCTGTCTTAGCACCAGGATCGTCACTCAGGTTGGCATGGACGCACCTGACCCCCACCCAGTGCCGTCCCACCGATCTTTCTTGTTTGCAGGAGGATGATCCCCCACGGATGATGAGCACCTTGGCCGATGTGGGGCCCGCCGTGGAACCCGGCGCTGTGGCACGGCCGGTTAAACTGCCACCTGTGATGACGCCGGCATCCCACAGGGGCACCGGTTCGAGTCCTGGATGCTCCACTTCCAATCCAGTGCCCTGCTGATATGCCTGGGAAAGCAATGGAAGATGGCCCAAGTCCTTGGGCCCCTGCACCCATGTGGGAGACCCAGAAGAAGCTCCTGACTCCTGGCCAAGGCCATTTGGGGAGTGAACGACAGGATGGAAGATCTCTCTCCCTCTCTAACCCTGCCTTTCAGATAAATAAATAAATAAATAAACCTTAAAACCCCAGAAAACCTCTTGGCCCTGAAGCGCTGGGCATGCCCTGGCCCCTCAGACCACAGCTGTCCTGGGCATGGGGTTGGCACCTGCTGAGTGGCAGGGCACCTGCGGCATGGGAGGGGTCGTCTGTGGCCCTCGGCAGCCCGCGGGGCCTAAAAGTTCTGAAGGCGCAGGGCTCCAGAGAGAGGAATGGACACGGGGGGGGCCCTCCGCTAGCCCCCTACCTGGTTGGGGGCGGGGCGGGGCAGCGATGGGCGTGGCTGGGGCAGCTGGGCGGGGCCCAAGGTGGGGCGGGGCAGTGATGAGCACGAGTGGGATGAGGAGGGGCGAGGCGGGGCGGGGAGGGAGCGTCGCCTCTCCACGGGCCGGGCCGCCTGACTCACCGCCCGCCTGTGCCCTAAGTGGGCTGTCACTTCCTGGGGCCCCTCCGGGTGGGGCCCCTCCTTGACACAGGGGCAGGTGTACCCGCCCCAGGCCTCCTAACCTTAACCCTCGCTGAAAGAGGGCCCACCCCCGTGGCCCCCGGGGCGGCACTCTCCCAGGCCCTGCACCCCTTTCCCTCCAGCTGGAAGGGACCAAGAATTGGGGCCCTGCCCCCAAGGACACGCTGTCCAGCCTCCCTCACCCCAGTGTCCTCCTTCCGGCCTCTCCACCTGGTCCACCTCGTCCAGCTCTGGCCTTGCTGGCCTCGGCCCTGGCACCTGTCTCCATCAGACCAGGACCAGGGTCCCCTGGAGAGAGGATTCCTTGGGCCCCGAAAATGCATTCAAGTGCAGGGGAGAGGCGTGTGCATAAGGAGCCACAGGCTTGTGTGTTCAAGTTTGAATTCTGGTGGCTCCGTGCGGCTTTCCTAACTCTTCTGGAAGCTTCCCTCGGGGCCCCAGCATTTCCTGGACGTGCTGGTGCGGGGTGACGCGGGGCTCAGAGCAGAAGTGGATTCAGATTCAGCTCTGTGCCTGGCGTGGGTGCGCGTGGAGGGAGCCAGGACCCTGGGTATTTGCAGGGGACCCTGACAGGCCGCGCTGGGCCAGAATGGGCCATGGACTTGGGATCTACACCAAGGCAGCTTCCGCTGACAGATCCCTGCTCAAAGGGGAGCACCGGCCACACCCTCCCTGCCGCCCCGTGTAAGAGGGGCCATGCGCAGTTCTTCCCCTTTGTGGGAGCAGCCCAGAGTGGGTGTGCATGTATGTGAGGGCAGGACTGTTCCCACAGCTTCCCAAGCCGGAGCTCTGGCCCCCGTCCCATTCCAGAACATTCCGCGCACCTCTGTGGTCGGAGCCCAGTCCTGATCAGCCCTGTTCCCGCCCAGGGGGAGAAAGGGAGACTGCCCAGGGTTTGAGACCCTCCCTGGAATCTGCACCCCTCACTGCCGCCTCTCCGTCAAACGTTCACAGGTGTTCCACCCACGTGGTGACCCCAGCGACCCGCGACCCCAGCTCCGCGGTTCTCCCACGCCTGCCTGCCTCCTGTGCACGCGCTTGGTGGATGCTGTGGCGAGTGCTGAGTCAGCCTCCGAGAACCACCAGGCGCCACCTCCCAGGGCCGCGTCATCTGCTCCGCCACCATCCGCTCTCCATCACTGTCCACCGAGTAGGGCATGGATGCTCAGTGCGGAGCGTCAGCCCTGGGTGAGGACAGAGGCAGGCCAGGGCTGGGTGTCCCGGTGCCTAGGGGCTGGGAGCTGCGGCTGGTTCCGCCCGATGGTGACGTGGAGCTGGGAGCAGAGCAGTGGTGGGTTTCCTTGGGTCGTGTGACCGGTACTCCTGCCGCCACCTGCGAGGGAGGGAGGAGGGGTTGGACGGGCAGGCGACTGACGATACCTGAGGGCCAGCATTTCCCGGATGTGCTGGATGGAGGCTGGAGCTGGGGCTGGGGCTGGCGGTGCAGGGGGAAGCAGTGAGTCTGCACGTGGTGCAAGACCGGAGGCTGCCCCCCAGCCCTGCCAAGCCTCACTGTCGCCGGTCTTGTGGTTCAGTGGTTTTCGTCCTGGCCTGTGATGCCAGGCATCCCACATGACACCAGTCGGAGTCCCAGCTGTTCCACTTCCAATCCAGTGCCCCAAAAATGTTCCTACGAGCAGCAGCAGAAGGTGTACTTGGAACCCTACTATCCACGTCGGAGACCCAGAGGAAGCTCCTGGTTCCGGGCTTCGGCCTGGTCCAGCCCTGGCCACCTAGGGAGTGAACCAGCCAATGGAAGACCTCTGTCTCTGTCTCTCCCTGTCTCTCTGTAACGCTGCCTGTCAAATCAATCGATCAATTGATCATTCGATCTCCAGCTGCTTTTCACTGGGAGCTGCCGGGGCCCGTGGTGTTCCGGCTTTCCCGGTGACACCGCAGGCCCCTTCCCAGGCCCCTCCTCCCTGGGCCATGTCCTGCCTCCCACGCCTCCCCGGCTGCAGCTGGTCTGGGTTTTGCAGATTGTGCCCTGGCTGAGCTCTTTGGGCAGCCTCAGTCACTCTCGGGGTGGTAACCACGGGAGGGGATCCCAACACGGGCCCGGGCTCCATCAGCTCAGTCTCATTGGAGAGACGGAAAACGAACAGATTCACCTAAACGACACCTGTGAATGAGGGGTACAATGACGTGCCTGGAGGACCCATGGACAGGAGTTTCGGCATTGAAGGCCTTGAGGCAGCTGGCCGGCAGGAGTTTTGAAACTGGGAGGAAGGGGATGGGGGTATGGGGGTGGGGGCAGACAGAGCCTGTGGACAGGGAGAGTACATGCAAAGGCCCTGGGGCAGGAAGATGGGATAGGGACCGCGTGGGTGAGTGGGTGGGTTTGTTGGTGACCTTTGAGGCGTATGCAGGCCAGAGGCAGGGAGAGGGTTTGACAACAGCGTCTTAAGTAAAACATTGTCCTGCG